AAAAAAAAAAAAAAATAAAAAATTAGCCGAGGCCGTGGTGGTGGGCACCTTGAATGCGCTAGCTACTGGGGAGCCTGAGGCAGGGAGAAATAGCTTGAACCCGGAAGACGGAGGTTCAGTGAGCCAAGGAGATCGAGCCACTGTTACTCCCAGCCTGGGCCGCACAGAGTGGGATTTCTGTCTGAAATTTAAACCCGGGGCCGAGGTGCGGGCCTCCCACACCTGTTGATCCCCAGCACTGTTGGGAGTGCGCGAGGCAGGTGGATGACGCACGAGGGTCAGGAGTTTGAGACCAGCCTGACCCAATATGGTTGAAAACCCCCTATCTGCTACTAAAAATACAAAAAATATAAGGGGCCGGGCTGCGGTGGCTCCAAGCTCTGTAATTCCAGGCACTTTGGAGAGGCCGAGACGTGGTGGATCACGAAGTCAGCGAGATTCAGGACCCATTCCTGGCTATACACGGTGCAACCCTGTCTCTACTAAAAAATACAAAAAAAAACACAAAAAAAAAAAAAAAATAAAAAAATAGACTAGCTGGGCGATTTCGCGGTTGGTGTGCTGGTTTTCTTTGGGCGGTGTGTTGGTGGGTTGGGGGTGTGCGGTGTGTGTTTTTTGTTTTGTGGTTGCGGCGCGCTTGTCTGTGTGTCCCCCACCCGCTACTCGGGAGGCTGAGGGCAGGAGATGGCATTTTGGGACCCGGAGGCGGAGCTTTGCAGTGAGCAGATTGACTCATGCTCTATCGCCTCCATGCCTGGGCCTATTCATTGGTATGTGAGATCTTGCCCGTCTCAAAATGAATAAATAACTATAAAAAAAAATTAGTTGGGTGTGGTGGCACGTGCCTGTAATCCCAGCTACTCGGGAGGCTGAGGCAGGAGAATTGCTTGAACCTGGGAGGCGGAGGCTGCAGTGAGCCGAGATCGTGCCACTGCACTCCAGCTTGGCGACAGAGTGAGACTCCATCTCAAAAATAAAATAAATAAGTAAATAAATGTCACTTGGGGATTTTAGACAAGGGAGTGGCTCAATTCAATAGGTTTTAAAAAAATCACTGGTGGCTGTGTGGAGAATGCAGTGTAGGCAACAAAAGGGGAAATAGCTGACCAGATGTGGACAGATGAGAGTGGAAGTTGAAGGGTCAATCAACAAGACTTGGCAACTGGAGAGGGTAAAGGGTGGTTTCCAAGCTTTTGGCCCAAGTACCTGGGTAGCGCTTTGGTTACCATTCACTCAGGGAGAGGTATAGATTTAGGGGAGGAAATAAGTGGCCTTTGGAGGTTCTTGATGCTAGTGTTTTATTTTTTGAAAAGGTAGATGAGCACTTTTAAAACCACATATACTGAAAGTATCAGTACAGTTCAGGCCAGGCACAGTGGCTCACGCCTGTAACAGCACTTTGGGAGGCCAAGGAGGATGGATTGCTTGAGTGCACAAAAAATACAAAAGTTAGCCTAGAGTGGTGGTGCACTCCTGTAGTCCTAGCTACTTGGGAGGCTGACGTGGGAGGATTGCTTGAGCCCAGGAGATGGAGGCTGCAGTGAGCTGTGATGGTGACACTGTACTTCAGCCCTGGGGCAACAGAGTGAGACCCTGTCTGGAAAAAAGTATAGTTACAAAGAAATACAGATCAAAGGATGTGGATGCCAGGAGCCAGCAGTATGCCTTCATTGTTAACTATATAGTTTATTTAAACCAGACTATGATAATACAGAGAAGAGACTGAGGTGGCAGCTGCCCAGAATCTTTGTGGATTACAGATGAAAAGTAGTTAGGAGTCCCTGGATCCACACTTCAGTTACAGACAGACAAGTCAGCTGCATAAATACAGAGAACATAAGACACAAGACATTTCACAGCTTTTTGCATTTCCATTTTAAATGTATGTTATAGCTTTACATATTAAGTTACTACTCCACATATTTTGTGACAATGGCTAAGGATGCAATGGTCCCATCCCCCTGACATAAGCAGACTCTGGTCTGCAACACAGAACATTTCAGTGGGATACCAAACAAGTCCTTAACACATAACATACAAAAAGATCTTTAAAAATCAGATTAATACAATGTTCTTCATGTTATATAAGGAAGAAAGGGAAGTAAAAAAAAAAAGACATTGGGGTGCTTTAAATGTATAGTATCTTGAGGCCTTAAATGTTTCATTCCCTTCCTCCAAGGGAGAAAAAAATGTTTAACTAATGGAAAAAGAAAGCAACATCCTAACGCCCTACAATGAGGAAGAACCCCATCCTGACAGTACTTAGATGCTTCCATGTAATAAATACAGCAGGTAGCAGAGTAAAGTCACAAGTATTGGCTTGGTTTTTATTTCTATGCTTATAAAAAAAAAATACGAAGCTTCTTTGTGTGGGCTGAAGGGGTGTTAGCTTGTGGATGTTGGTCTTCGGTGCCTATACCCCAGTGGCTATTTACATTCCAGGCCCCTGCTAAATAAAGCAGGCTCCACTGCCAGCTGTCTGTACACTTTTTCCTGGGGGAGGAGTTCTTGTCTTCAGTTTACTGCAGTAGGGTTCCTGGCTCTGTTACATGCTCATGTGTTCCGGAAGAACATATGAAATATCGTCCCATGGATGACGATACAGCCCCTGCTTCAGCCTCTTCTGATCAAGATAGTGTCCTAAAATGAAGCAAACACATCTTTTTTATTAGAGCTTCATAAGCCTGGTGAGAGGGAGAGGCTAAGGAAGGGAAATCTTTCTAACACACAAAAAAAGTAGATACAAAGCAGTGGGAAGCTTAGTCCAAATCCATTCCATAGGTAGATGAGGCAGACTTTGTACAAGAGAGCTGTTGGATCTGATTCTATTTTCCTTTAAATTAAAACAAAATTTTAAAGGGAAAAAATAAAAAATAATAAAAATAGGCCGGACGCGGTGGCTCATGCCTGTAATTCCAGCACTTTGGGAGGCCAAGGCAGGCGGATCACGAGGTTGGGAGATCCAGACCATCCTGGCTAACACAGTGAAACCCCGTCTCTACTAAAAATACAAAAAATTAGCCAGGCGTGGTGGCACACACCTGTAGGCATGCGTCTGTAGTCCCAGCTACTTGGGAGGCTGCAGGAGAATTGCTTGAACCTGGGAGGTGGAGGTTGCAGTGAGCAGAGATCGCACCACTGCACGCCAGCCTGGCCAAAAAGCAAGACTCAGTCTCCAAAAAAAAAAAAAAAAAAATTAATTCTATTTTCCTGGGCTAGCAATCATTTCTAAGAACAAAAGAACAATGATAAAGATAAGGGGAAAAGTTAAAGTAAGAAAGAAAAGATTAAGAACAATGATTAAGAGGATATGACATTTCTTCTGTAGAAACTGAACCACAAAGAGAATTAAAAAAAAAAAAAAAAAGAAACTCAACCCCATGGGTAAGTGGTATAGCTGAACCATGGGGGTTTAAAAAAAAAAAACAAAAAAAAACCACTTAAAACAATAACGAATGGACTCACCAATGAAGCCCATACTCCTTCCCAGCACAAAGATGCCATTGAGGGCTCCAATGTCAATGTATTCATCAGCTTCCTCCCTGCAACACACAATCAACTTGTAGTTTTAAAAGGCTCACGTGACTGCCCTTCTCCCCAGACAGTACTACTACTGCCCAGGAATAAGAAGAAAAGGGGTGCTCTAGGTGGTAGGATTACAGGCAATTTTTGTTTTCTTCTTTATACCTCTCCTTATTTTTCAAATATTCTATTCTGAGTATGCATTACTTTTATAGTTTGGAGGAAACAACAAAAATCAACAAACGTAACGAA